TAGCGTTTCGGTACAAATTAGTCAATTGTTTCAGAATAAACGGGACACCAGCGCCTACTTTCTTTAGGAAGATTCTTGTTTACATGCAGTTCGGACTCCTTGTGTAGGCTCCATGAAACTGTGTTTCACTGAGTGACACTCACTACACAGAAGTTCTATGACAGAACATAAGCTCACTACAAAGAAGGTAACTGCAAAGAAAGTTACTGCTACAGTCTGTGACCATAAGAAAAAAATTATATACCGTTGAGTTGCACGCCCTAGATAAAATATTGGCGCAAAATTTAAAAAGTACACAAAAAAATAAAATAAGTAAAAATACGTAAAAATAGGTAATAAATAAATAGGTGAAAATAAACTAACAAATTAAAAAATAGGTAACAAAAGTATAAAAAGGTAGTTTAAAGAAAAAACCTCCAAAAAAGGTAAAAAATGTGAAAACAAGTTAGGTTCATATAAAAGAAAATCTTTTAAAACACATTTTGGCATTATTGGTTTTCAAATAGTTACATCGGTTGAAAAAAGGTAAAATAACTAAAATCCCATCCCTAGTCATCAGGCACAGAGGGTGTTTTTAAGTTTTTTTTTAATTATATGTTTTAGTGTCGTATGTCAAATTGACATTGTCAATGATCGGGTAGGCGTTCTAAATACCTATATTTGTAATTTTTTATTAATAAGGCCATGTTTTATGTTATTATTGTTGTTAAATCTTATGTTTGTTATTTCGTTTAATAGTGGATTTATTTTTTGTTTATATTTATAAAATTTATCGCTATTGTCTAGAATGATATCTTTGATGTATTGGATGTCTGTTATCTAACTCTTTTGTACTTTCCCTCTCCGGTGACGTGTCTTAAGACGTCTTTGCAGTACTTTGCAAGCTGGGTGGCCGTATTTTAATATAGGTCTTAATGTTGATTTGTAAAGGGTAATTTTGTTCTTTATAGATATTTTGCTTGTCCTGTTGGCCAGCGGATAAATGGCTATTATATATAATGGCTTAAGGTTATTGATGTGTTTTGTAAATTTAAGTTTGTTATTAAGAGTTATGCCTACAAATGGATATTTGACGCTCCTTTTTTTCTGGAGCTGAATGAACATTGTTTAGCACTATTGGTGTTATAATTCTGTTGTTGTATCAGCTCCGTTTTGTTGTTATTAACTCTTATTAGCCATTTATCATAGTAGCTGGTCAGCAGTCTCAAGTGGATTCTTATTTGGCGCTAGTACTGTACCTTGCGGTACCCCTGCTCTTATTGTCTTTGTCTCGCATTTGAAATGGTTTACATACATTCTGAATGTTCTTTGTAGTTCTCTAAGCTTTTAGACAAGACAGGCCTGTCAGACCTTGTCGAAGGCCTTCTCGATCTCCAGCAGGACCATGGCCGTATTCTGGCCACGGTTGTTGGCCTGTTGGACATCGTGAATAACCCTCGCGGCCTGGTGTACAGTACTATGACTAGGCCTAAAGCCGAACTGCTCGTTTGGTGTGATTTTATTCTTAATGTCCCATTTGTTTATGTTCTCCAGAATAACTTTTTCGGCGAGTTTATAGCTGCCAGGATTGGTGGGATCTTTTCTTGGGCATTTTTCCTTTGTTGGCGGAAGTGTTGGAGGTTTATTGTATTATTGATTATGTAATGGAACTGGACTATTGGAGTTTTATTGGTAAATTTTTTAATATTATGTTTTGAATTTTGTCAGGGCCGGGAGTTTTATTATTTACTAGCGTCTTTATCATTTTTTGTATTTTTTGTGGTGAGTTCTTCCAGGATGAGTATCGTTGGTAGCGCTTTACGAAGCTCATGCTCGTTACCGTTTTGATTTAATGTTGGAATGTTGGTTTTTGTTTTATAAGTGTCTTTAAAAATTCCCATAGGCTTAGTTTTGCCAACTTTCCTGACCAAGTTTTCTCTCTGTAGATTCTTATATCATTTCTAATTTCGTTATACTTTATTTTGTCTGCGATATTGTTTTTTTTTGGTTGTGTTTTGGTTTTTTACTATTGAAATATTTTTTGTATGTTGTTGTTTATAGTAGTTTCGGTGTTTAGGATTTGTCTTAATTTATTACAGTCTGTTTTTGAATCTTACGAAGGTTTTGGCCTCTGGCTTTTAAGGGTCACATTCACACAGACCGGAAAATGGTCGGAATCTTGTTTTTAATTTATCTTCCTTCTTTAATTTTGTTTCATTGATAATTATCAATGATTATAATTATCACGTGTACGTCGTGGGTATATAAAAAAATTATTAGGCTGGAAATCTGTTTGCGTTCCAACTTACCATCTTTAGTTTTTTGTTATACGTATGGGCCATTATAAATCGTAGTTTTTGGCATTGAAGTGTGCTAATTCCAAGAATATTTGGAATTTTAGTTTAGTTTAGTAGTAGCTTTTTCCATCAAATCAGCAAGAGGCGGGTGATCTCTGAAAACAAACAAGAATTACTGTTGGAATTATTAGTGGCGGTAAAGTTATCTTCTTTTGGATTTTAAGGAGGTGCCTGCATGGGTTGTGGGGGCCTTGCTGTTTATGACGTTGTGGCTCTTGTCCAGTGATTTGTAGTTGGTGTTGGGCCGGGACTATACCTTTGCTGGGTGATCTGCCCCGCAATTTGCACACGTTGCTGGGGTATCCTTACGTTTGGTACATTCGTGAGTCCGGTGGCTTTGGGCACATTTAAGACATTTATAGTCTTTGAAGCAATTGGTAGTTGTGTGTCCCCAGTCCTGGCACCTATGGCATTGTTGACTTTTTCTATCGTATTTCCTTATCTTCCAATAAACCATGTGTTGAATATATTTTACAGTGGCATTTAAATATTTTAGCTTTATTGCTGAGTCAGTTATAACCATATATAATGGACGGTTTGTGTTTTTTAGTTTGAAGATATTTTTTATAATTATTTCGTGGTCTTCGAGACTCATGTCGGCATCGAGTCCACGCATCACGAATGCGTCCGTTTTTTCTTTGTATGGAGTGTACCTGTTATTTTTCTTTAAAAGGTTTACGTAGTCTTTGTGTTCTTTGTTCTTTTTGATGTTGAGGACTAAACTACTTTTAGTGTGGTTTTCTATGTTTTTCATTAAGTCTTGATGTTTTTCGTTTACTCTGCGTGATAAAACAATTTGTGGTCTATCTTTTTTGTCTTTCTTTTCCACTGTTGTTTTTTGGAAGATTTAGGTTGTTTTTTGTCCGGTCCTTTGACGGTATATGGTCAGTATTGTCCTTTATAATTTCATCTGCATTTTTTGTCACTCTATTCAAGCGGTTTTGTGCGCTAAGCAAGCGCTCTGCTACCGAGCCGGGCTTCCTAAAAAAATACGAACATTCTGGGAATTTTAATTAAACAAAATATAAAAATAAGGTTTTGTTTAATATAAAAACGCTAAAACTACAACCAACCCTAAACTAGGTACTTAAAACCGTATTAATATGTTTTGTGATATATAAAAATGCTCATTCGTTAATTGCAAAGTTATTAATCTCCTTTACTTATCATCGCCGCGGCAGTTTAATAATAATTTATTAATATACCGCCGACGGTTTACTAGACACTTTCATTGGCGAATGCTAACACGAATATTCGTTACATCAATTATTATAAGGTAGGTTTATTGAAATATTAGTTAAAATATTTACTTATTTAATACAAAATCTGTCGTACAGACTCCTTGCGTATATTTGCGTAAGCTTGCGAGCGAGTAATTAATAAAAACGAGTGTCTAGAGAAGTTTATAAACGAGTTGCATACTATACTTTATATACGACTAACACAAAGAAGAATTTAAATTCGATTTTATTTGTTAATCATTTGACATCTGTCAACTTTATCCCGTAACTAAAACGCCATAAAGTCACAGCTTGTCAATGTAGGAGTAGAAAATAGTATATTATGTATCAAGTTTGATAAACGCCATTTTATACACGAATTTAATTTAATGCCTATAGGCACGAGCCAGCTTGCGAGTGTATAAAAAAGTTTATAAACGAGGTGCATACTATACTTTTTCTACGACAAATACTTATTATTATCTTAAAATGATTTAAATAAAAATTTGTATAGAGCGCCATCTATGAAACAATAGGGGAATCTGCGTGTCACCGTCAAATGTCACATTTATTTATTTTATAAACACAGATTATAAAGGTTATAAATCGAAATGTATTTCTTGAAAATTGTCAGTTTTTCACAGTGAAAGTAAAGAAAATGGAGGACTTAACAGTGGAGTCCGTGCCCGAATTTAAGTTATAGTTTACTGCCGGCGAAATTAAAAGGTCAGTACAATGTTCAAATAAACTTTTCAAATATTGGCGTTGAGAAACTATTTAATACTTTGGTATTTTTGTATTGAGATAATAAAACAATTTTCACATTTAGTATTATTTTACTAGAAAGGCACTTTATTTTAACGATTGTATGACATTTGACAACTGTCAACTAACTTAAAACTAACTTCAGCCTGTGACTAAAAACCTGTTGCTAGGTTCAGCCCGTGACTAAAGCGCCATAAAGCCACAATTGTGGCTAATTAACCTGTCAATGTGTATTTAAAAGGTTTAAAGGGCGTTTTAAAGGTGGGAGTAGAAAAAGTAATTTTTAATCTACTTTTACAAGATTTTTATATTTAAACTAATATAAAATCGCCGCCACTAATACAATTAAATTAAAATTTTACAGAAACAAGATTATTAATAAATAAAACTTGTGTTATACAATTTCATATTTAAATAGTTTTTGAAATAATTTAATTTTGAACTTACATTACCAAGATCATTTAAACCCTTATAAAATACCGCCAATGAGAAATTTAAATTAAAATTTGTTCAGAATCAAGATAAATAACACCACAGAAATATGGTGTTAAAATTTGAATTTTGGCCATTTTTTTGGTCATTTCAGTCCTGCATTTTCATAAGTAGCTAATTAACAATTTTTTTAAATTTTACCAGAGGGCAGTACCAGATTTTTAAACCAATAATTTTATTTTTGTAGAAGCAGCACCTTCTGCTCCAGCAGGTACAATTTCCAGCGGCGACGGTCTTGCAGAAGCTATACAACTTTTGTCGTGCCGACCGATGCGACAATCTATTCCTCAGACTCCAGGTCACCCCCTTGCTGGATTCATGCCACCTTGGGCGGAATCCCATGAAGACCGAATGCATAGGAGGATGTATCCAGGACCGGCGTCTCAAAGGTAAAAAATACCTTAAAAAGTATAATGATTTGATACCAAAAGTATTTTAAAGTTGTTGCAGCCATTATTGCCGAAAAATGTGCCTACTTTTTTTAAATCCTTTGTTTTACTCACGAGCTAACTCACCTACTAACAGAAAATATTTGTTTTTTTATTTTTGAGATATTCTGCTTGCCGCAAAAATACTTTTTTCTGAAGGGTCTCTAAAAAACAGCCCTCAATTGCTAAATTTTCAAAAATTTTAAATTAAATTTGATTGAATTATTGTTCAAAATTTAATGTTCTTTTATATTCGTAAAAGCTTGAATAAAATATTTCTTTTATTATATTAAAAATGCAGGTGTGTCGGTGAGTGAACGCACGACTGAAGAAATGCTTGAGAAGCGTAAGAATTCTTATGGTTAGTTTTAACAATTTTGGAAATGTGCAATGAATAACTTTACAGACTTCTTGTGTGCATAACACTGTGCGACAAATTAGGGGTGACAAATTTTAAACTGGATTTCACTGATTTTTCCTTAAAGTATACCTATTTATTTAATAATAAAAGCCCTAACTGAGTTTGTTAAAGTTGGTTCGAATATTTTTTATAAATAAAGTTTTGGGTAATTTATTATAAATTGATATACGTCAAATTTCGCTTACAAATTGTTTCTTTTTGCATAGTAATAATTTATTTTGATGAATATTTAATACAATAAAATTTAGTTTTTGGGGCCAATGTTCTTATAAAATTGCCTTTTTTCTCAATTTGTAGTCTACCTCACAATCCACACTACAAGGTCTGTTCTATTTCATGCTAAAAATACTAAAAATCACTGCAACACTGCACACAGTTTAACGGCGGCCATTTTTGTTGTTTACAATTCTTGTGCTTTGGGTTTTGCTGTTTAATAATTGTTTTAAACGTTGTGTTTCTTAAAAAGGCACTTGTAAGCCTCAAATTAAGTGCAGACAACCATTTTACTCCTCTTTTATAAAAAATATACCTTATTCTATGAGGGCTGTCAAATGTCAATTTGAGGGTTAATTTGTGGGTTATAAATTAACCTTAAAATTGACATTTGACAGTTTGATGACAGCCCCTATAAAATAAGGTTTATTTTTTACTAGAGGAGTAAAATTGTTGTTCTTAGCACTTTAAGGCCTCTTTTAGGGCTAACAAGTGCCTCTGTAAGAAACACAACGTTTATAACGATTATTAATCTGTATAAACAGAGCACAAACCCAAAGCACAAAATTGTAAACATCAAAAATGGCCGCCGTTAAACTCTGTACAGTATTGCAGTGATTTTTAGTATTTTTAGTACGAGATAGAACAGACCTTGTTGTGTGGATTGTGGTCTACCTCACTAAATATTGTTTTTTTAAATTAAAAAAAAAATTCAAGCCCTAGGAAATAAATTTGTTTTAAAAAAAATTTAATTTTTGTTTAAAAAAAAATTTAATTTTTGTTTAAAAAAAAAATTTAATTTTTGTTCTAAAAAATTTAAATTTTTGAATTTACTGTTTGATATGTTTTTTATAATTTTAAGTCACCCAAGTATAACTTGGTTTTATAAACGCTATTTTAGTTGCGAATTTTATTAGGCGCGAGCGCGTGTTTAATAAAAACGAGTCTCTCGAGAAGTTTATAAAAAGAGTTGCATATTATACATTATCTACAACACACAGCCAGTTTTATTTGTTAAACATTTGATATCTGTCAACTTTTAACGCATTTAACCTCAGTTTTTCCTAATTTATAATAAAGCTTACTTCAGCCTGTGACTAAAATGCCCAAACGCCACTGTTGCCATCTTCAGCCCGTGACTAAAACGCTATAAAGTCACAGCCAAAGATTATCTTTGGTCACAGCTCGTAAATATAATTATTTCATAGTTTTATGCAGTGTTGCCAACATGGTCACTTTAAAAATCCCTAAACTAGGTAAAAAAATCCCTAGAATTCCTTAGTTTTAACAATAATTATACAAAAGAGTATAAATTAATTTGTAACTTATGAAACAAATAGTGCTAATTTTGTATAAATTAAATATGTTATAAAAATAAAAGACAACACTTGTGCGGGTTAGGGGTAGGAACGGACCGCGGGCTTAAAGTCCCCTCCGAAGGACTAATACACAATAGGACAAACACAAATAAACAGCCATACCCCTGGTGGGATTCGAACCCACGACCTCCGGCTTGTAGTCAGCAGCACTAACCACTAGACCAGGGTGGAAGAAGAAGGTGATATAGCTCCTATCTCTACAGTACAGAAGCAAGCGTCCAGATAAGTCAGTATTTCGTTCGTTGTTCGTTAGATGGCGAGTCAAATAAGAACCTTAAGGTTTTACCAACGAAATCCATATATTCTATAACAACTTAACTTTTAACAACAAATTATAAGATAACGAAAACCCAAGGAGAGTCTTCTACCCTCCTTAACGACAATTACATCTTTTCTTAAAGCATTATTATAATAATTTGCAGAACGATTGGCAATACTGTAGTATTGCCAACTGTTCTGCCAAAATGCACACTCGCCACAAACGCACAAAAGTGACGTTGAAATGGTTTTATTTGAATTTTAATTAAGCTTAGTGGTCTATTCTTTGAAGTTAATCAATGCAATTTTACTAAAAATGGGAAAAGTTTGTTGTGCACCGGGATTAAAACAGGTTCCACTTCAATGCGCCATCTATACAGACTTTTAACAAATACTGACTTATCTGGCCGCCTTCAACGACGGAGTTGAATCACCTCCTTCTTCCACCCTGCACTAGACCACCGTCGGCGATACCTAGGCTTACACGTTAAACCCCATTTCTGCCAAAAAATTAAATGTAAAGTGAATACTAAAAAATGCAATTTTATTTACACTTTACCCTTAAAACAAAGTTGAATTGCATCAACTGTATTATTTTAAAAATAAAAACATTTTTACAAAGAATCAACTACTTGGCTTAAATACATAGTCAATTTACATTTAGTATTTTAGTATTTTCTGGAAAAACAATTTAATCTGAGTAATAGTAAGAAATGTTTCACCTGTCAACTTGACAACTTCCCATTATAGACCAGTGCAGAAGCCTTTAAAAATGGTAAAAAGAGAAAAAAATAACAGTAGGATGAAACCCATTGGAAAAGGAGGGGAATATAATAAAAATTAAAGGAAAAATAAATTACGGGCGATCTGAGTTCGGGAAGTGGGAGGGGGGGGGGTTTAAGGGTAAAAAATGGATTATCTCGATTTCCGGCAAAACTACAAGTCCTATGGAAAAAAGTTAAATGTCAAAGTTGTAGGTAATAAAAAGATCTACAACTTTTGTATTTACAATTTTTTCACATAACCTCAAATTTTATGTGAAAAATTCAAAAAACCAAGTTTTTGGTTTTTTATTTTTATCTTTTTCAAAAAAAAATTTTTTTTCACGAAATTTGGTGAAAACTTACCTTTTTATGTCCCAAATACACTGTAATTTATTTGATTTAAAATATTTGTTATTTCGCCTTATTTTGACTTAATATCAAAAAAGCACCCTAATTTTCAATCGAAAATTCTCGCGTCAAAATATCAGCTTTTTTCAAAAAGTCGGTGTGCTTTTTGTTCGATGAACTCTCTACTTTCTGATGGTGTAAAAAAATATATACATTACTATGGTAAATGTTCTCAGAAAATACAAAAAATATAATGAATAACGTAATCAGAATGAAGTATCTAAATTCAATAGTATGATTTACATGTATTTTATATTTTATGAGATTTTCTGACATAAATGTTATTAGAATTTAATAAATAAACTTTTTAACTAAAAAAAATTGCAACAATCACATTTTTTTGATGAAATTGTACATAATGATTAAAATAAATTTTCGAATTCGAGTTTTTTTCGTTATTCATTATAATATTTTTTGCATTTTCTGAGAACATTTACCATAGTAATGTATATTTTTTTACACCATCAGTAAGTAGAGATTTCAACGAACAAAAAGCACACCGACTTTTTGAAAAAAGCTGATATTTTGAGTCAAAGCACCCTAATTTTCAATCGAAAATTCTCGCGTCAAAATTTTTGACGCGAGAATTTTCGATTGAAAATTAGGGTGCTTTTTTGATATTAAGTCAAAATAAGGCGAAATAATAAATATTTCAAATCAAATAAATTAGTGTATTTGGGACATAAAAAGGTAAGTTTTCACCAAATTTCGTGGAAAATTTTTTTTTTTTGAAAAAGATAAAATTAAAAAACCAAAAACTTGGTTTTTTGAATTTTTCACATAAATTTTGAGGTTATGTAAAAAAATTGTAATTACAAAAGTTGTACCTACTGTCTGTCCACTCTAAGTTGGCTGAACTAAGGAATTTTGTTGTTTAGATATTAAAGAATTGTCGTACTGTGTGCTTTTAAAACATATTTTATATTATAAATAATACTAGTATATAATATGTACTAGTATTATTTATAATATAAAATCTGTTTTAAAAGCACACAGTACGACAATTCTTTAATATCTAAACTACAAAATTCCTTAGTTCCGCCAACTTAGAGTGGACAGACAGTAGATCCTTTTATTACCTACAACTTTGCCATTTAACTTTTTTTAATAGGACTTGTAGTTTTGCCGGAAATCGAGATAAACCATTTTTTACCCTTAAACCCCCCCTCCCACTTCCCGAAGTCATATCGCCCGTAATTTATTTTTCCTTTCATTTTTATTATATTCTTCTCCTTTTCCAATGGGTTTCATCCTACTGTTATTTTTTTTGGTTTCAAAAATTATCGACCCTGGTCTATTATTAGTTGATATTTTTTGGTTCACCTGTTTTCCCTGTCATCTTGACCTGCCAGTGTGGCTTGATTTTTTGTTTTGCCAGTCATCTTTTTAGGTTGACTCTAAAATCCTTAAACTCCTTAAGCTGTGCTCCTTGTTTTTTTACAGATTATTTTTTCTGTACAAGTGACTAGCAGAAATAAAGTTATTTTTTTAATAAACTTTATTTATTATTTTAAAATTCAAAATTATATTTTAGAGGTAATTGGCAATCGATAGATGTCCCACACTCAAGCGGCATGTCCGTTACCGAACATTACGACATATTTCCGCCCGGCATGCCGCTAACTTCAAGGAAATCCAGTTCATCGACTGACTCATCTTCGTGTCTCTCGATTCACAGTCGATCCACGACGAGTTCATCCGAACGAGGATCGTGCAGCGAAGCAAGCGGCACCGTAAGTCAAAAACCCCCTAAATAAAAAACAATATAATTAGGTTGTTGTTTTTTTTCTAGGAAGCTATTAGGCTGCATCAAAATTTATACTCCATGTGGAGCGGTAGCGAGCATCTGCCGTTCATTAGACTTCCAGAGTCACAGGAACCTCAAGATGACAGTGATACCGATGATCCTCCCACTGAAAAAAGTGGTGGCGCTTCGCCATTTCCCAAGCCGACTTGAACATGTGCTCAGGTGACTACGCGTTTGTAATCTATTTCAGCAAAAACTATATTTTTTTCTAAATTATTTCAATTAAAAGGATTAATAAAGAAATACTTATTGTTTTTTACTTACTGACATTGGCTTATTAAGATTAAATGGGCTAAAATGCAAAACAACAAGATAAAATAATTAAACCTAGGATTTAATTCTGAGTTAAGAATAGATAGTTTTCAATTTACTTATCAGTGTTAAATGTAATGTGTATAACAAATATCTATAAACAATTTTTTTCTGAATCTATAACTATATATTTTTATTTTTATGACTGATAGCTTAATAACAATATATTTAGAGTTGGATGTTACTTTTAAAAATGACCATAAAATGTATTGGAAAAACTTTCTTATTATGCGATTTACGGAAAAAAGTCATTATTCATAAAAACTCCTGCATATTTAAAAAATTACATTTCCTTAAAAAATGTTCAGGGTGCTCAGAAATTAAGATCACAGGAAATTCTTTGGGAGAAATTTTATAACAGAAAGTTGATAATAATTTAAATTAAATTCTAAATAAGAAATAAAAATTGTTAATTTATTTTTATGAAGAAATTTTAAAATAAAAACTTTATTTCGTATTTTGACTTAAATTTGATTTAATTTAAATTTTTATCTACTTTTTCTTATACCTACAATTTTTTATACCTAAAATTAAATTAGTTTTTTTTATAAAAATATTACAGAATTTTTAATAAAAAAAATTACGTATTAGGACTTTAATTTGAATTGTCATAGACTTTCCTTATAAAAATTTCTAACAAAATAATTAATAAAAAATGTTCATGTTTTTCTATTTTCTGATTTGATTCAAAGTTTTTTTATGATAATGTAACTTTTTAAATGAGCAAAAGTTTTTCCTATTGGCAACCCCATCCTGGCACACACTGTAAGTGACCGAATTAATTTAATTTAAAATGACCGATTTTAAAAATCGCGGGCAAATTACATAGGTGTTAATTCCTTTTACGGTTAGGCTAAATTTGGCTTGAATCCTAACGCACAAAACGGAGTGTTCTGTGTGTTTTAGACTGTAGTTCTAGACGTTCAGTTGGGTCATAAAAATAGCTTTAGTTTTAAATTTAAAGCCCTTAATTAAGGGTTAATGACGAGTAATTTATCTATGTATGGTAACCCATAGTAGTAGTGGTAAACTGTAATTTTTATAGCCTATAGTTTAAAGGGTAGTTAAAAAAAAGTTTACAAGTATAACTAAATCAAATTAATGATTATATATATTTGGTATTTGTGGTCATTTGCCAAAAAAGTTTATAAAAATAGCTTTAGTTTTAAATTTAAAGCCCTTAATTAAGGGTTAATGACGAGTAATGTATCTATGTATGGTAACCCATAGTAGTAGTGGTAAACTGTAATTTTTATAGCCTATAGTTTAAAGGGTAGTTAAAAAAAAGTTTACAAGTATAACTAAATCAAATTAATGATTATATATATTTGGTATTTGTGGTCATTTGCCAAAAAAAGTTTACATTTATAACTAAATCAAATTAATGATTATATATATTTGGTATCATTAAATACAGATACATAATTATAAGTGACTGTCATATTCACAATGTGAGCAGTGATTTGCCAACTCTAAATATATTATGCATATTTGTATAACAAAACTTATCAATTATCAATATATCCTGTATACTCTGAAATTGTAGTGTTTGCAAAAAAACTACATAAGTTAGTAACCTTTGTTTATGAGATATCGTAAAAACCGTTCTTTTCGATATGCAAACATTTAAGTTCGAATATATATAGGTATGTTTTTAATTAAATACGTTAACCAAGGATTATTGGTCATGAAGCTATGAGTCCTAATTTAACTGAAAAAATAAATTATACACATTTATAAAGTTAGTCTATAAAAAACCTATTTTTAACGAAATAAAATCGCTTTTTAAAGTGCTGTTTTACAAAGAATTGCCAAAATGATACTCAAAACAACCGCGCGTGTCAAAATTTATATTTACAGTCATTTTTGCTTGTACGACTTAAGTCATAGGATTCCTATGATAGGAACTCATAAAAAATTATGTGAATAAAGTTTACACCCATGATTATGGTTATGCAACATGAACTTTGGTAGGTAATCATTACAAAAATGCACGTATTTTGTTTTACCCCTCAGTTTTCTATGCTTAGGTTGTTCTTTTTTGTTATTTATTTTTTTTTTTTTGGTTTTTATTGAACTTTAATCTTTTCGATTATTTAGCCAGCTCATTATTATAAATTTTATGGTTCTTAAAAACAACCACAACACCCAAGGCTGTGACCGGGAATCGAACCCGGTACCGTGGCGCAGATTGATTACCGCTCTGTAGCTTTAACGCACTGCGCCATCCTCGGCCCCTGTTATTTCAGTCTTCCTCCAAGTTGATTTGTCATCTGACATGTTGAACTGTTTGAGTTAAAGAGAGTTTAACTTAGTGAGAGTTATAAAAATTATATACCTATTTAAAAGTATACCTAATTAAAATGAGTTTAAGTTATTACATACAGGGTGGGCTAATGAAAAGTTTCCACCCCGGTTTTCTCAGGTGTTACGTAAAAAAAATAATGAACGCTCGTTTTTTAATTTTATAGGAACAATTTATTTTTATATTTTTAACCCCACACACCCCTAAGCGGGGGTGATGGTTACCCCTACAAATTTTAAAGGGGTCGAGTGATGCCACATTTTTAAGACCTTTCAAATCCCTACATTTTGTTGTATTAGTTTTTAAAGTCGGTTGGTTCCTTTTTGGATATTTAAGAAAAACTTTTAATTTATGCTTTGTGTTCCATTTTGGCAATTTTTAATTGATTGATTTAAAATTTTAACACAATAAAATAGATAAATAAGGCACTTCAAACTTTTAAAATTGTCGAATTTTTTCCAAAAAAACCATTTTATTTCGTTATAAATAGTTTTTTTAAGGGACTAACTATACAGGGTGTCCCATAATTAGCGTGCAATACTTTAACAGCAGATTCTACTTACAAAAATAAGAAAAAAAGTTCATATAAACATAGGTCGAGAAATGCTTTCCAAGGGAGCTACAGCCCCCGGAAGAGGAGCCCCAGAAGATGGTTTTTATTTAATATCTCCAAAACCATTTAAGAAAGAAAAGTGAAATTTTGGGATATAATCAAACTTTTTATGGCCACTAAGTTGGAATGATAACAAATTCAAAATTTTCAGATAGATACGGAGTGGGGGTAAAACTTCCCTTGTACGTGTCTCGTGCTAGGATTTGATGTCAGAATATAAAATTTCGGAGTTTTACACATAAAAAAGGTCCTCTTGTTAAACTTTGATATTATCCACTGTTTTCGCTTAAAACCCATTTAAAAATTACCTTACATAGCATAAAAGATCATAATGAATTCACAAGAGAGAAAAATTCAGCGTAGGCCATGGAACACAGCTGCCATCTTTAGGAAAAATTATTTAAGACAAGTCACGGTTTCATGTAATATGTGACAGGGTGTTTAAAAAGTGTCCATGGCCTATGCTGAATCTTTTTCTCTAGTTGTGATTTCATTATGAATTTTTAAGCTATGTAAGGTAATTTTTAAATCGATTTTATCTAATCTATGATTTTAAGCGAACATTTTTTGTGTGTAAAACTCTGAAATATTTTGATCTGATATCAAATCATAGCACAAGATACGTACAAAAAATTTAGGGTAGTTTTACCCCCACTCCGTATCTATCTGACCCATCCTTATGAAAATGTTGAATTTGTTATCATTCCAACTTATTGGCCATAAAAATTTTGATTATATCCCAAAATTTCACTTTTCTATCTTAAATCTTAAACGGTTTTGGAGATATTAAATAAAAACCATTTTCTGGGGCTCCTCTTTAAGGGGGTGTAGCTCCCTTGGAAAGCATTTCTCGACCTATTTTTATAGGAACTTTTTTTCTTATTTTTGTAAGTAGAATCTGTTGTAGTAGTATTGCACGCTAATTATGGGACACCCTGTATATAGGGCCAGTATAGTCACCTTCCTTTACATTTACTAGACAGATAACTGTTAAAGTTACAATTGTTAACATAATTGTAACCATGACAATTAATCGTTGGGTAAAATTAGTGAAAGGTGAATATACTGGCCCCTATATATGGAATTAGCGCATCCCAATTACCCTGGAAAAGTTGTTGGCTCCCTGTGGCAAACAAAAAATTTAATTTTGTCGACCATTTTTAGTTAAATTTTTATTATACTAGTTTTTAAGGTCAGGGTCCAAATATTTATGGGTAAACTATTATTGCTGGTTAATAATAGTAAATAATTTTTATTATTTTGAAATGTTTTCAAAAATGTTATCAAAAATATAATTGTCAATACCATCAGTCAAAATTTTTATTAAGTACATGTAAATTTTTAAAAAAAGACTGATATCACATTTTGTTGAATACCAAGTGAGGTGCTATTTTGAATTTTATTCGGTTTTACTTTAATTTAATCATCAATTTTAAATTAGATACGTATCTAGACAATACTCGTTTTTTCTCTTGACTCTCTTTCTACTACGGTCACTTCAAGATAAAGCACTTTTTGGTGAGCCAATTAGAGCGCGCCATTTTCATCTGCAAGCACGAAAGCGTATTGTCGAGCTCTTTAAGAGCTAATATTAGTTGTGCAACTTTTGTTTACTTTGCTATTAATGTGACAATAAATCAATTTTCAAAATTGTTGTATTTAAAAAAACATAAAAACATATTTTGTAATATTCTTGCACGATATTATCCATTTTTGAATTAATTTTACCCACATTTTCCAAGGAAAAACTTAAAATTTATTGTTTGACAAAAAAAGGATTCAACAATGTGTTTGAAACCAACATTTAATGTTTTCTACAGTCAATTTGGCAGAAAAACTATTTTGAATAAATATGCGCAGGACGATATTGCCAACTGGTGCTAAAAACAATTTAATTATCTAATAGTATAAACTAATTTTATCTACGACTGCTACGTAAATTGTCAAAAATACTCCTGTCAACTTGGTATGTAAGTAGGTCATTATGTATACTGATATATTATGCAC